TGGTTGGACAATTTGGGGTTTGGAGATGTCCTGGTTGAATTTTGGGGACATCCTGGTTGGATTTTGGAGTTTTGGGGACATCCTGGTTGGATTTTGTGCCTTTGGGGACATCCTGGTTGGATTTTGGGGGGTTTAGGGACATTGTGGGGGGACACCTGGGGCTTTAGGACTATCCTCGGGGACGTTTGGGGACATCTTGGTTGGACATTTTGGGGTTTGGAGATGTCCTGGTTAAATTTTGGGGACATCCTGGTTGGATTTTGGAGTTTTGGGGACATCCTGGTTGGATTTTGTGACTTTGGGGACATTGTGGTTGGATTTTGGGGGGTTTAGGGACATTGTGGGGGCACACCTGGGGCTTTAGGGCTGTCGTGGGGGACGTTTGGGGACATCTTGGTTGGATGTTTTGGGGTTTGGAGATGTCCTGGTTGAATTTTGGGGACATCCTGGTTGGATTTTATGATTTTGGGGACATTGTAGTTGGATTTTAGAGGTTTGGAGACATCCTGGTTGGAGTTTTGGGGGTTTGGGGACATTGTGGGGGGACATCTGGGGCTTTAGGGCTGTCCTGGGGGACGTTTGGGGACATCTTGGTTGGATGTTTTGGGGTTTGGAGATGTCCTGGTTAAATTTTGGGGACATCCTGGTTGGATTTTGGGGGTTTGGGGACATTGTGGGGGGACATTTGTGGGGTTTTGGGCTGTCCTGGGGGGACATTCAGGGATTTGAGGACATCTTGGTTGGACAATTTGGGATTTGGAGATGTCCTGGTTGAAAATTTGGGGACATCCTGGTTGGATTTTGGAGGTTTGGGGACATCCTGGTTGGATTTTGGAGGTTTGGGGACATCCTGGTTGGATTTTGGGGGTTTGGGAACATTGTGGGGGGATATTTGGGGGTTTGGGATCATTGTGGTTGGATTTTAGGGGGTTTGGGGACATTGGGGGATTTGAGGACATCCTGAGGGTGGCACTGGTGCCTTTGGAGACATTTTGGCTGGACCTTGGTGGCTTTTGGAACATCCTTATGGGACTTTGGGGCTTTGGTGACAGCCTGGCTGGATTTTTGGGGCTGTCACTGCCCCCGTGACCCCGCTGTCCCCTGGGTGACCCCGCTGTCCCCTGGGTGACCCCATTGTCCCCTTGGTGTCCCCTTGGTGTCCCCAGGGGAAGGAGTTTGAGACGCGGCTCAAGGAGAAGAAGCCGGGCGATCTCTCGGACGAGCTGCGGATCGCGCTGGGCATGCCCGTGGGGCCGGTATGGGCACCCCAAAACCACCCCAAAACCACCCCAAAACCACCCCAAAACCAGCCCAAAACCACCCCAAATCCACCCCAAAACCATCCTAAAACCATCCCAAACCCCAAATCCCTGGGCATGCCCGTGGGGCCGGTATGGGCACCCCAAAACCACCCCAAAACCACCCCAAAACCATCCCAAATCCACCCCAAAACCACCCCAAATCCACCCCAAATCCACCCCAAATCCACCCCAAATCCACCCCAAAACCATCCCAAACCCCAAATCCCCGTGGGGCCGGTATGGGCACCCCAAAACCATCCCAAATCCACCCCAAATCCCTGGGCATGCCCGTGGGGCCGGTATGGGCACCCCAAATCCACCCCAAAACCATCCTAAAACCACATCAAATCTACCCCAAAACCATCCCAAATCCACCCTAAAACCATCCCAAACCCCAAATCCCCATGGGGCCGGTGTGGGCACCCAAAATCTACCCCAAAACCACCCCAAAACCATCCCAAATCCACCCCAAAACCATCCCAAACCCCAAATCCACCCCAAATCCCTGGGCATGCCCGTGGGGTCGGGATGGGCACGCCAAATCCACCCCAAAACCATCCCAAATCCAGCCCAAAACCATCCTAAAACCACGTCAAATCTACCCCAAAACCACCCCAAAACCATCCTAAACCCCAAATCCCCGTGGGGCCGGTATGGGCACCCCAAAACCACCCCAAATCCAGCCCAAAACCATCCCAAACTCCAAACCCCTGGGAATGCTCCAAATCCTTGGGAATGCCCCAAATCCCACCCGAAATCCTTGGGAATGCCCCAAACCCCTGGGAATGCCCCAGATCCACCCGAAATCCTTGGGAATGCTCCAGATCCCTGGGAATGCTGCAAATCCCACCCAAAATCCTTGTGAATGCCCCAAATCCCACCCCAAACCCCTGGGAATGCCCCAGATCCCACCCGAAATCCCTGGGAATGCCCCAAATCCTTGGGAATGCCCCAAATCCCACCCCAAACCCCTGGGAATACTCCAAATCCCACCCCAAATCCTTGGGAATGCCCCAAATCCCTGGGAATGCCCCAAATCCTTGGGAATGCCCCAAACCCCTGGGAATGCCCCAAATCCTTGGGAATGCCCCAAATCCCACCCCAAACCCCTGGGAATGCCCCAAATCCTTGGGAATGCCCCAGATCTCACCCCAAACCCCTGGGAATGCCCCAAATCCCACCCAAAATCCTTGTGAATGCCCCAAATCCCACCCCAAACCCCTGGGAATGCCCCAAATCCTTGGGAATGCCCCAGATCCCATCCCAAACCCCTGGGAATGCCCCAAATCCCACCCCAAATCCTTGGGAATGCCCCAAATCCTTGGGAATGCCCCAGATCCCACCCCAAACCCCTGGCAGTGGGCAGGGGTCTCTGCCCCCCCACCCCTTCCATTTGAGCCCCCCCAAATTCCTGCAGTGACTTTGGGGGAGGGGGGATTTCGGGGTGCTGGGGCAGATTTGGGGTTTTTGGGGTGCTGGGGGGGATTTTAGGGGTGCTGACCCCCCCCGTGCCCCCCCAGAATGCCCACAAGGTGCCCCCCCCGTGGCTGATCGCCATGCAGCGCTACGGACCCCCCCCCTCGTACCCCAACCTCAAAATCCCGGGGCTCAACTCCCCCATCCCCGAGGTGAGCACGTTTTGGGGGTTTTGGGGGTTTTTTTGGGGGGATTTGAGGTTTATTGGATGGTTTTTGGGGTCCTGGATGCTGCAGGGTGGAGGTATTTGGGTGTTTTTAGGGGGGTTTTGGGTTTTTTTGGGTGGGTCGGGATGATTTGGGGGGTGGCTCAGGATGATTTTGGGGGTATCAGGATGATTTTGGGGGTATCAGGGTCATTTCGGGGGTGGTTCAGGGTGATTTTGGGGGTATCAGGGTGATTTCAAGGGTGGCTCAGGATGATTTTGGGGGTGTATCGGTGATTTTGGGGGTGACTCAGAGTGATTTTTGGGGTGTCAGGATGATTTCAGGGGTGGCTCAGGCTGATTTTGGGGTGTCAGGATGATTTCAGGGGTGGCTCAGGCTGATTTTGTGGTGTCAGGGTGATTTTGGGGTGTCAGGCTGATTTCAGGGGTGGCTCAGGCTGATTTCGGGGTGTCAGGATCATTTTGGGGTGGCTCAGGCTGATTTTGGGGTGTCAGGGTCATTTCGGGGTGGCTCAGGCTGATTTTGGGGTGGCTCAGGCTGATTTTGGGGTGACTCAGGCTGATTTTGGGGGTGACTCCGGCTGATTTCGGGGTGCCCCCCTGCCCCAGGGCTGCTCCTTCGGGTACCACGCCGGGGGCTGGGGGAAGCCGCCCGTGGACGAGACGGGGAAGCCGCTCTACGGCGACGTCTTCGGCACCAACGCCGCCGAGTTCCAGGTGTGGGGACCCCCAAAAACCGCGGGGACCCCCCCCCGGGACCCCCAAACACCCCCGGGACCCCCAAACACCCCCCGGGACCCCCAAACC